ATATGTATATGAGTGATTGGTTTCAAAAAGGACGCATAATGGAGGCAACACCATGAACATCGCGACGCCAGCACGCAGCGTGGAAGGTGGGATGGACCAGCGTTCGTCATATCGGGCGCTGCGATCTAATCGACGCTCGCTTCCTCTTTCCGCATGGTCTTTTGGCTCAAGCAAGGAACGGTGCTTTTTGTTGTCCCCGCTGGGGCCCCACCCGCCGCTGACCAGTTTCCAGGACAAGAGCAAGGCTTGACGTGCTGAAGTCGACTAATGAGCTGCTTCGCCCTTTGCCGTCACTCTCCCCCCGCCCCTGCCGCACACATTGACGGATTCGTGCCTTGTGTGTTGTCGATTTGGAAGCGTTCGTGGCCAGATTGTGCTATCATGTTCCGGGCGCGTGGTTTTTTTCAGCGTGGCAGGGTTTGGGGCGCGTGGTGCTACGGCCGTCCAGTCTGAAGGGATTTGCGGGTGTTCCCACATCCCACGGTGGGGCGGTTGTTATTATTTAGGCGCTTCCTACTCCGTCCTTCTTTCCCTCCTTCCTCCTCTTGCACACAATGTATTTAAATCGCGCCGGCCCCCACCCAGTCCCTCATCCTCCTGATACATTCAGACTCTCTCAAATTCTAGACGCTTCGCGTATCCCCACCAGCCCGTCCAGAAACGACGCCCAGGCGAGTAGAGGGTCGTCCTGAGGGGTTTTTCGGCGTCTTGGGTGCCTCGGGGGGGCCTCTGTGGGCCGTTCGGGATCCTCTTTGGGGCCTCCTGGGGGCCTCTTGGGGCCTCTTGGGGCCATCTTGGGGCCTCTGGGAGCACCTTGGGTGCCTCTGGGGGGTCTCTTGGGGCCTCTTGGGGGTCTCTTGGGGGCCTCCTGGGGGCCTCTTGGGGGGCCTCTTGGGGTCATCTTGGGGCCATCCTGCGGCCTCTTGGGGCATCCTGACTTTAAGGGTAGCTCTTTGGGAGATGTTACAGTATCGGGAGCATAGCTCGCGCGCCGTTGCCTTTGGCCCAAGGCACGCGCGCCCTATTTGCCCGGACACCGCGAGTGTTCGCTATGTGCTGGAAAGATCACTACATCGATCTTATCCTATCTTATCCGTCCACCCCTCATACTGTACCTTCACAGCAGAGCGATGGACGCAATTTGCCAGGCTATATGCCATATTTGAGCTACCAGGCTCACTTTCGACTTGGTAGCGGAGCTGGCCGCACTCTCGTGTGGTCAGCTCTTGCTCTTCTTAGCCTCATATTATTCGGCACGATCTTCGTGACTACCTACCACCCTGCGCCACCACTCCCAGTACGTTTACGAGGACCTATCCAAGAGCAAGAAGCAACACGAGAGGTACGACGTCTAGACGACCAGACTGGTACCATATACGCTTCATCATTGCGTTACCACCAACCGCTCGGCAACGAGCTAACAGCGCAATACTTGAAGCAGGGGCGGGGAGACCCGCCAGACAGAGCGCCTCGAAGACTCGACAAGGCGCTACCCCAGCGCGACAACGCGCATCATAACCGTCCTTCGTTACACATTCTCGGGCTAGTCGTTTTCGCTATTATATGGTTCGCGCTGGGGGCAGCAATCGGACACATGCGTCGTGGAGAAAACAGCACCGATGGGCAAACACATGGCCCATATTGGGACCCTCAAGGTAATGTACCTTTTCGTGAGTACATCTACGAGGTCAACGCATGGCTCAACGTTACAAGCGGACGTATGACGCCACAGGCCCAAGCGGCCGCAATACAACGCGGCCTAGGTGGCCTAGCGAGGACACTCGCCATGAGGGTACCGCCTGACATTATCAACTATGGTGCTGACATCGATGGGGTCCACACAGACCCAGTGACCTACATCATGTTCCTCCTAAGCATGAAGTTCGAACGCCTGGAAGATGAGCGACAGCTCACTTCCGGCACACAACTCATCGACTTCCACGTGCCTCACGGGGAACGAATCGATGTCACCCTTACCCGATTCGAAATGGCCCGACTTGAGGCACAATCGGTGGGATTCGACCTTCCCAACTTCCAACTGCTAACCACTATCCTATTCCGCGCCTTAGGCGTCGGCAACCAGCGAGCCATGCAACTCTTACAGCCACTCAATCACCAAATGCCCCGAACACAACAACAGTATGATGAGTTGCTGGAGAGGATGCGTTCGATAGGCCACCTATCCGAACGGTATCCTGGTAACATAGGATCTGTGCTTGGAAGGGGAAGGGGATCTGGTAGTGGAAATTTCTACACTACCTTGACTACTGAAGCCCAGCCTGGAAACGGGCCCTCAAGCATATGGGCCGATGACCCGGGTGAATCCACTGCGTTATTAGCAGGGGATCGATCACAACCAAGCTGGGCAACCAGCCCTCCTTCTAGAGAACCACAACCACACCGTTCTTTATGGGGGGAAGCAAACCCCCTAACCGACGGATTTCGACTCCGGCACCGATACAGACACTATATCATCAGATGGTGTTGAAGCTTTAGATTGGTCAGATATTATGAATATGGATAACAACAATCAGCGTGCTGAGCATTTGTTCTGGTTATTACAACAGGCTAAACGAAGGTGGAGGAGGTTCACACGAAAACCAGTGCGTCGTGTTAGAAGGAGGATACGTAGAAGTTTTAAAGGAAAGGGTAAAGGCAAGCGAGGTCGTCGGAGGTTGAACGGACGAGGTATCGCGGCATTTCTCCAGAGGCTCTCAGATGAACAACATGACGAGATATTCTTTGGGGGAAAAGGCCGTGGTAAAGGCCGTAGAGAGACCTCAGGAAAAGGCAAAGGTAGGCGGGGAAACCCGCGAGGTAGAGACGGCCAGGTTCTCAAATGCCATGAATGTGGTAGTTCCGATCATCTTGTGCGAGATTGTCCAGTGAAGGGAAATGGAAAGGGCAGGTCGACCGAAGTCCATTTTGGCTCAAGTGAACCATCCATTGAGTATCTGAGCCTCCAGGACTTTGAGGCTATGGAGCAGATATTTTTCACTTGGGTTGTTGGCATGGACAACGTCGACGAGCTCGAGGCGTATGGTCATGGATTGTACGCGTACTACCTCGAGTACGTCCGCCGGTTCGTTATGGGCAGTAACGAGCTCACTCCCGTGGAACACGGTACGCTGGGAAACCAGCCTCTTTCTTTCTTCGACTGGATGTTCGGGAACCCAGGCAACATCATGGCCTACGAGAGCGACGACGAGGACACCACTATAGAGGCTTCGCCTTCCGAGGTTCAACGGAACCTCGAACCTCCGCCCGAAATCCCGCCTGGAAACAGGCCGTCTTTGATGGGAGAATATCCCCAGACCACTGAAGACTTAATTGAAATGGAGTCTCAGGCATTTGTTCAGGCCTTCATTGCAGGCGAACCAGATACTCCGTTCATACCTCCTGGTTCGCTTGCTCCAGGCGAATATGGACCACGCACCCTTTTGCAGACCCTCATGAGGACGCATGAGATACTTATAACTGGTTATCCTGAGAGTCAAGAACATATCGAAGCTGACATTCTGACAGAACAGGATACTGATGCCTGCGGTAGCTCAGAGCTGTTGTTGGCAGCTCTGACTCTCATTGACAGCGTGCATCCTCAGGACGTGCAGAGACACTTGATATGCTCCCGTGGTAGATGGCGTAATGCTCTAGAAATGGCTATTGCTATGCGCGGTCATGATCTTCCTCCGCCAGGATGGGGTCTCCAGGCGGTGGGAATGAGGCCAAACCATACGGCCATGCGTAACATTGCTGGGCAGCCTGTGCTCGGCAACGAGCCTGAGCCGACAACAGTGCCTCCTACTCCGGGACAGCCGAGCGACGCACAGACGCCGGCTATGCAGGGAAACCTGCCTGTACCAGATACGCCAATGGCCATCATCATCGGTAGTTCGACATCAGAAGAAGTAGAAGGCGATGGTTGCGGGTTAGATGAGGATGACGTCACCATCCTCATGATGGACGTGAATGGTGAGGAAGAGGTTGACTTCGATCCTGATGAGTCTGAATCATCATCACCATCGGCACAAGCGCCATTTGCGCCGAGCTCCACCCAGCAGGGAGACCTGCCTCCATCGGACGATCCATCTGGGATCGCACAGGAGCCTCCTCAGGCACCTCCACCGGGTGCCGCTCCTGCTGCTTCGGCAGCTTCCTCTGATGAGAACACCAGAAGATCTCGTTCCCATACGCGCGTCAGAGAAGAGCCACATCCACAGGCTCGACTTCCTCGTGAGTGGAGGCAGGCTGGCCCAAAAGAACACGCTCTCAGGAGAGGTGGCCAGCTACTTCCGTACAACGACCCAAGACGCCGAAAAGGGGAACACTCGGCCTTCGGCAAGGGCAACCCTGCCTATAGGGACAGTGATGGCAAGGCCATCCGCGGAGGCTATCAGCTTGCAACAAATATCCGCCGCCCTGAAATTCAAGAAGCGCGGACTCAGTTGCGAGATATTATCGCGGCGCGCAAGCAGTATAGGCCTCACGCAGCATGCGGACCTTGTTCCCAGCCGTTCCAGAACCACAGGCCAGGATGCCCCGTTGGCAACAACGAAGGCCTGAGCCCCAACAGGGGCAAAACCCCTCATAAAGAGGGCCATCCGCAACTTATCCCGATGACACAGGAAGAGATTGCAGAAGTGAATCGTCGTCTCGGGATCTTGAGCCACTTGGATCCGAAAGAAGAAGAGAAGCCTACCCCGGTTCCAAGGGGACTGGTAGCCATGACCCAGGAAGAGAAAGACGCGCTCTCTAGTCTTCCTGGAATGCGAGGAAACTCGCCTGGCGTCTCTAGCCAGTCCCAACAACCAGAACCGACAATCAAGGATGTGACAAAGGCTCAACGTGTGGCGGAGGACGTGGAGCGTATGCGGACAGCAGAAGACCGCACTCGCGAGGCAACTCGCAAGATGTTGGAGGATTCTAGTAAGATCTACATGAAGAGGGCTACGAGGCCCCCCCTCCCACTAACTTCGGAGGCCAAGAGTGAACCCCCGACACCTAAGCCGTCCTCGGTGCCGAAACCGAAGACGAGCCCTCAGGACCCTGGGCCAGACGTGCAGATGGAGGTGCCTCGAAGTGAAACTCCGAGGCCGCCGATTGGCGCAACTCCTACACAAGCGTCTGTGCCCAAACAGCAACCTCAGGACCCTATGGAGGAACGAAGACGCCCGCCTAGTCGCAGCAGCTCCATTACGAAAAAGGCGGCAGCTTTCGAGCGCAGTGGGTATGCACCTGCGCCAG